CTCGCCGACTCTCTCTCTCTCTCTCTCTCTCTCTCTCTCTCTCTCTCTCTCTCTCTTTCTTACAGGCGTCTTCGTAAGCCTCAAATGGGAGTGTATTTTCTCGCTTTCGCGGGAAGATGCATTCCCTTGTGGCATGTCTCTCTCTCTCTCTCTCCCCCTCCGAAGCAGAATCCTTTCTTTTTTCTTGTTTTTTTTTTTTCCTTTTCTTATTTCATTTGTTTTATGTTGTTTTCGTTTTCTCGCTTTTTTCCTTTCTTTCCGATAGACGTTCGGGATGTGAGCGCCTGGTAGTCCGAACCTCGGCACGGATCGGCGTACCGGTCGGCCGAGGCTCGGAATGGATAGCTGGGCCAAGTACCGGTGGTTTAATGAGAATTCGTCAGGTAACCCCCATTAATTAAGACCGGTGGTTGACATTGAGTACATTGCAATTACCCATGTACAAAAGGATTGGCCGAAGCCCATTATTTTTAGAGTGGTACACACCTAGGACCAATTGACACGATCATATGCCTTCTCAAGATCAAGGAGAAGGGCTACGAAATTGAAGTTCTCGTTGTGGGTAATTTCTAGAGTTTCTACGGCTGTTACGAAATTTCAGGGACATTTTGGCATACTCCTCAACTTCTGGAGGTATTTTGCAAATTTTCCCCACAAAGAATTCCCTCCGGGGGAAAAATAGGAATCCCCTGTTTTTTCTCCCGGCGGGAGGGTAGTTTCTCCCTCTCGAGCTCGATACGGGCCTCTGCCCTGATTGCGGAGCCTGCCACGTCGGCACGGGGTGGGGAGACGACGACCAGTCTGTTCACAGCCCTGCGACGACCAGTCTGTTCACAGCCCTATTATCGTGCGACTGCTGCTACTGCAATCGTAATGTGTGCTACGCAATGGGCTACCGGTGCTGATACAGTAGGGATGCTCAGCAGCCAGCAGGCTCGTCGTATTCGTTTAGGGTATGCTGTGTCCTGTACTGTTCTGCACACTGACGTGTGTGCTTGGGCTGACGTTCGTGGCGGTGGAGTGTGGTGGCGGGTGCTACAACGTGTAGCCTACCGTGTTCTCTTGAACACAACGCACTCTCGTTTTGGCTGTATCTGGCCGGAAATATAACTTGTATACATTCATTTTTGGGGTGTTTTATGTTCGGGGGAAGACGGTAGCTGCCCAGCCTGCAGCTATCTCCGAGGGTATGCAGGCGGAACTCGGGAAGAGTAGCTGAGGAGTAGGTGGAGAGGCCGTGACGTGGAGGAGGGAAGGAGGGAGGGAGGAGAAGGAGGAGGAAGAAAGAAAGAAAGGAGGAAGAAGGAAGACGAAGAAGAAAGAGAGGAAGAGGCGGGGAGGAGGAGGAGGAGGAGGAGGAGGAAGTAAAACAGGAGGAGGGAAGGAGGAAGGAAGAAAAAGACAGAGAAGAGAGGAGAGGGAGGGAACGGGGAGGAAGAAGAAGAAGAAGAAGAAGCAGAAGAAGAGGAGGAGGGAAGGAAGAGAAGGGAAAAAAGGAGAGAACAAGAACAATTCGCTTCGTAACGCAGGAAACGTGGAAGGAGATAATCTTTGGACGTGCACAGCTTCGCTTTGCTCTCTTCGACGACACCCATAGAGGTAAAATACCTTGTCACGATCCCCTGCCATTCTCCTCGTTATCCTTCTTCCCCCTCCTCTTTGGTATCCACTTCTCGCCCTGGTCGTCATCCTGATCAATCAACCCCTCTTTGGTATCCACTCCTCCCTCGTCGTCCTCGTCATCCCGATCAATCAACCCCTCTTTGGTATCCATTCCTCGCCCTGGTCGTCATCCGGATCAATCAACCCCTCTTTGGTATCCACTCCTCCCTCGTCGTCCTCGTCA